ACCAAGGCTATGTAACAATTAAGAATACACTAACATTTTGTAAAAACATTTTTTTCAAAATCCAGTTACAAAAACAATTAGAAGAGCCATAGACTAGAAGAAAATATTCTTGAAATCTGACAAACGACTTATATAAAGAAATTCTACAACTCAACTTTTAAAAAGTCAACCCAATTAAAAATGGGCAGAAGACTTAACTAAACAGTCACAAAAGAAAACAAAAGAATGGCCAATAAGCAAATAACACTCAAAATTATTAATCTTAGAGGAATAAAAATTTAAATAACCGTAAGATAGTACTATTCACCCACTAGATCAGCTAAAATTAAAAGACTGAAACATCAAATAATACCAAGGATTTGGAGTAACCAGAATGCTCCTGTTGTTTGTAGGAGTATAATGTGGTACTACCACTTTAAGATCTGGAAGTATTTTCTAAAACTACACCATGATTTTGGAGATTCCAAAAGACAATTAAACATATTAAAGGCATTGAATTTGGAAAGGATGAAGTAATGACAACATCTTGTATATAAAGAATCCTACAGAATCTACAAAAAACTTTTAAGAGCTAATAAATGAGTTCAGCAAGGCTGCAGAATAGAAGATCAATATACACAAATAAACTGAATTTCTATACATTAGCAATGAACAACCAAAAATGAAATGAAGGAAATAATTCATTTGTCATAGCATCAAAAAGAATGCAATGTTTCAGAAATAAACTTGTCAAAAAACATGAAAGACACACTGAAAACTATAAAACATTGTTGAAAAAAGTTCAAGAAAATCTAAATGGAAAAACATCTTTTGTTAATGGGTTGGAAGACAAAATTGTTAATAGAGCAATACTCCCAAAATTGATCTAAGATTCACTATAATCACTATCAAAATCCCAGCTGGTTCTCTGCACATAAGAAATTAATAATCTGATCCTAAAATTCATATGAGGATACAAGGGATACAGTTAGGCAAAAATAATCTTGAGAAATAAGTTGGGGGGCTCACATTTCAAAGCTACAGTCATCAAAACTGTGTGTTACTGGCCAAGGACACACATATCAGTAGAATAGAATTGAGAATCAAGAAATAAACCCTCACAATTACAGCCAGTTGATTTTTGACATAGGTTCCAAGATAATTCAATGGGGAAAGAATATTCTCTTTAACAAATGCAGCTGGGACAATGAGATACCCACATGCAACAGGATGAAGCCCTACCTCACACCATATATAAAGATTAATTCAAAAATGAATCATACAGTTAAATATAACAGCTAAAACTATAAAACCCTTAGAAGAAAATAAAGGAGTAAGTCCTTGTGACCTTATATTTAAGCAACTGATTCTTTTATATGACATCAAATGATGATGAACAAAGAAAAATTTCATAATGATGCCTAGAGCCTGACACCTTTCAAATAAAGCTTAAAAATATTCAAAATAAGTAATTATTATGAATGGATACATATATATGTAGAATAAATACACAACTATTTCTCATAATCAATCTCCAACTAGGGGTTACTTTTGGGGGTGGGGGACAAAGGTATGAATAAGGGCTTAAACAATATCTGTAATCTTTTGTTTCTGAAAAAAAAATTCTGAAACAAATAGAGTATACTGTTAATATATGGTAAAAGAGGAAATGGGTAACCTAGAAATAAACCTAACCAAGAAGGTGAAAGACTTGTACTCTGAAAACTATCAGACATTCATGAGAGAAATTAAAGAAGACATAAATAGATGGAAATCTATCCCATGTTCATGGATATTGTCATAATTTGTCATAATGACCACCCTGCCCAAAGCAATTTACAGATTCAATGCAATCCCTGTCAAAATATCAATTTTTCAATGAGCTAGAACACATAGTTCTAAAATTCATATAGAACCACAAAGACCCCAGATAGACAAAGCAATCCTGAGAAAGAACAAAGCTGTGGAGATTACACTCCCGGACTTCAAGATATACTATAAAGCTACAGTAATCAAAACAGTATGGTACTGGCACAAGAATAGACCCACAGACCAATGGAACCAAATAGAGAGCCCAGATATGAATCCATGCATATATGGTCAATAAATATGATAAAGGAGCCATGAATATACAGTGGGGAAAAGACAGCCTCTTCAACAACTCGTGTTGGCAAAACTGGACAGCTACAGGCAAGAGAATGAAACTGGATTACTTCTAATTCCATACATAAAAATAAACTCAAAATGGATCAAAGACCTGAATATAAGTCATGAAACCAGAAAACTCATAGAAGAAAACATAGGCAAAAATCTCTTGAACATATAAGCATAAGCAACTTTTTCCTGGACACAGGACACACAGGACATCTCCTTGGGCAAGGAAAATAAAATCAAAAGTGAACTGAGACTACATCAAGCTCAAAAGCTTCTGTACAGCAAAGGACACCATCAGCAGAACAAAAACACACCCTATGGTATGGGAGATTATAGTCATAAATTATTTGTCCAAAAAGGAGTTAATATCCAAAATATATAAAGAGCTCATATGCCTCAACACCAAAAAAACAAATAACCTGATTAAAGAATAGGCAGAGGACCTGAACAGACATTTCTCCAAAGAAGAAGTACATATGGCCAACAGGCACATGAAAAGAAGCTCCACATCACTAATCAGTGGAAATGCAGATCAACAAGACAATGACATACCACCTCACATCATTTAGAATGGCCACTATGTGAAAGACAAGAAATAACAAGGTTTGGCAAGGATGTGGAGAAATGGGCTTCCTTCTACACTGTTGGTGGAAATGTAAGCTGGTACAACCACTGTGGAAAGTAGTATGGAGGTCCCTCAAAAAACTAAAAATAGGAATATCATTTGACCTAGTAATTCCACTTCTAGTAATTTACCCCAGGAAAATAAATCCCTAATTCAAAAAGATATATGCTCTCCTATGTTTATGCTGCATTATTTACAATAGCTAAGATATGGAAACAACCTGAGTATTCATCCACAGATGAATGGGTAAAGAAGAGGTGGTACATAAACACAATGGAATATTATCGAGCAATAAAAAGAAAAGAAATCCTGCCATTTGCAACAACATGGATGGAACTAGAGGGTATTATGCTCAATGAAATAAGCCAGGTGGAGAAAGACAAATACCATATGATTTCATTTATTTGTAGCCTATAAAAACAAAGCAAAACAGAATGAATAAAACAGCAGTAGATTCATAGACACTAAGTGACTAGGGGTTACCATGAGGATGGTGTTGGGGTGGGTGGGTGGGGAAGAGAAGCAGGATAAAGGGCAAAAATTCTCAATCGTAATATAAATTGGTCATGGGGATGACAGTACAGCATGGAGAATATAGTCAATGATTCTGTAACATATTTCTATGTTGACAGATAGTAACTGCACTAGTGGGGGTGAGGTTTTAATAATATGGGTAACAGCTGAACTGCTGTGTTGTATATTTGAAACCAATATAAGACTGTGTATCAGTGATACTTCAATTAAAATAGAATACCCAGTGCACACACAAAAAATAGGGAATACACATATACATTTATGAATATGTGAAATACTTTACAGTTTAACAAATTGCATTTTTAAAAGAATGAGACATCCTTATCATGAACATAACTGCCAATATAGCACAGGGCAAAAATGAAGGTAAATTAAACTAACTGAGTTAAAACCATATGAACCCCAAGAAATACTCTGGAGATTGCTTTGGGAATAAACATTTTTAGCATATCCTTTGTCACTGGCTTTATTCAAAATGAACCACAAAGTACATGCCCCCAGAATGATTACTGGAATTTTCCACTTGTTTTTATTCTATACAAATAGCTGTGGTTTGTGTTTGCTTTAGTAAATTTTTTCTCTCTCCCCTCTCCTAAGTTTGTTTTCATCAGATTTTCCCAAGCTTAGATCTCTTGTTTTTTCCTTTCCCTGGATTTGCATTTCTTTTTCTAAGCAACAATAAAACATTATTTTCTTTTCCATTTGCTCATCAATCAAACAGTACATGTCCTTGGTTGGTTTTTCACTTTCAACTACATGTTGGTTGGTTTGCTTACATCTTTTCTGCAACTTCATTTGTCCCAAGCACAAGACAAGCTTCCAGGTGCTAAAAAGGAACAGTTTTTATAAGGAGGAGGTTCACTTAGTTAGGCCTACCAGAATGGTATATATATATGCAAATGGAGATTTAACAACCATTTAAAAGGGTACAAACCCCTTCCATACATGTGTCTCCAAAGGGGCCACAGGAAGTCGGAGGGCTGTGAGAAGGACGCAGTTGCCATCACTGCTAGAGTGAGATTGATGCTACAGGCACCGGGCCTTCTCTACCTGGAACTGGTTCCCTCCATCACAGATCCTAGAAGGCTGCTTGGCTGCAGTCACACAGGACAAGAAATGGGAGCCTTTTGTCATCCTTTCTTCCCAGCCAACAACAGTTATCATACTGAGCTTCTCCCACTGCCAGGCAGTCTTCTAGGCACGTGATGCTATTTCACTTAACTCCTAATTTCCTCTGAGAGGCACTGTCATCTCCATTCCACAGACAGGGCACTGGGCAGAGAGAAGTGAAGCAATACAAGCAAGGTCACACAACTGGTTAAAGGTAGAGCCAACATTCACACCCAGCTGTGGCTTATGGCAAAGCCCTACCCTTTGCCCCACCCAGCTTCTTCCTTTTCCAGCTGCAGCAGGATGTGGAACAGGCTAGCTTTTGGGTAGCAGAGTCATTCTCCCTCACAATCCACCATACAATCTACTTATCATATTTATATACAATGGGGCAATGTTTAAGTCTTCAAGAAAACAATTTGATTCCTCAAGTAAGACATTAATAAAAACAAGCATTTATACACAGATATATACTTGCAGGGGGGTTATGTAGAGGCAAGGATGGCTATCTGCTGTGGTATCAGAAGAGCCCCTCAGACGGTGCTCACACAACCATGCGCTCTGGAAACAAAGCCCCTACAGAGTAACGAAGGCGTACCTGAATGGGATCCTGCGTCAGTCTCATGGGCCCAATGCGTACCTCCGCAGAAGTCACCTGCTAAATAAAGGAAGGCACATGAGATGTGTCAAGTCTTAAACTACAAGAACTGACAAAGTCTTCCTTATACAGGATATTACCTCATGCCACTTTGCAGATGCTATATAAGAGGATCCAACTTATTGACATGGAGACAGTGTACAAAACTTCATGTTCAATATAATTCTGGTTTTGTAAAAGAATATATACATTTATATGCATTGACAATGTCAGGAAGGATATATCCCAAACATCAAGTTGTGGGATTTCAGATTATTGTTACTTTAAGGGCATGGGTTTTTACAATAAGCATGTATGGTTCTATGGGGGAAAACAACTCAATTTAATAATTATTTACTGAGCACCTACTGTGTGCTGGGCACCATGCTAAGCTGGAATTATTCTAAAATTTTCAAAGAGTAAAAATTTATCTCAAATGTAGAAGCTAAAGCATTTCAATGGTTAAGAGCTGTTCCTATATTAGATTTTCCTTACGGTCATGCCTCAGGAAGACAAATACTTTTCCCCAGGTTTGCCATGAATAAACCATTCATTTCAGTTTTAGCTCCTTAGCCTGAGTAACACCACACCATGATCACAAAGGGCTAACCTGTGCCCCACAACTCCACGAATGAGCTCAGGTGTTCATGGGCCAACACCACCTTATTGCTTTGGGTTCAAGTATAAAGAAAATATTTGTCTTCTTAGTTGCTTTACTTGATTTCTTAAGAAGGCTTTTCTCTAGACTATGGGATTGTAGGTCTTGGCCTCATTTCTGTGGACCCAATTTTGTTTTTCTCTAGGAGGCTCTAGTTACTTTGTCACTGCTTGGAAGCTCATCCTGCTTCCCACATACTATGTTGGGCCCTGTTAGTCAGATGGGACACCTTCAGCAGGCATCAGAATTCACAGCACCAGAGACACCACAGTGATCCAGGGGCCAGAGGAGACTTTATAAGTTAAACAAAACAAGCAAAGCAGAACTTTAAATTATACTTTTGAAGACTAAAAATCTCCCTTTCTCCTTTTTTCCCCTTTCCCCATGCTTAACTCCTGGTGGGCATGGTGTGAATCTTTTCCAAAACGTGAGCATGAGCTGCTGACACATGAGATGTGGCAAGTCTTAAACTACAAGAACTTTTACTTACTGAGCACCTACTATGTCATGTGCAATGGTATGTTTTCCTCTGTCAGGTTGGTCCCCCCACCCACCTCGGCATCATTGTGCTGTGGTGCAGGGGGATTTGGCCTTTCCCCAAACCAGCCCACTGGTGACGACTGCTTGTTGGGGTCTCTTGGCTCTCTGTAGCGGGGTCTCGGGAGAGCAGAGCTGCTCTCTTGTGCGCTGCTGGAAGGCTGCCTCCTGACAGTAGGCCCTTCCACAGCACGTGGCACAACTAAAACCAACTCGGCACCCTGAGTCCCTGAGCCCATGGACCAATGACAAATTCCTTTAATGCTTCACGGCTGTCTTCAATAAAAATGATACACTTCAGTGAGTGTGTCACTCTGACACTTTTCTCCAAGCAAAACAAGCTCCCACAAGCTATTGGTGCTGATAGCAGCCCCCAGCGTACGTACCCAACCCTGAGGACAATTCCACTGGAGGAGGAACGTCACAAGCCTCCTGTTCCTGGGACTCTAACCTTCCACCCAGCTCCCCTCTAAAAGCAGTTCTTGTTGCCTGAAACAGATACCCTCCTTCAAAAGCAGTGCAACTGCCAGAATTTTGTTAAAAAGGTAATGATGAAGAATAGGGAATTTGGCATAATAAGATAAATTTGATTGATAGTCTGGGATATCATTTCAAGTCTCCCTGTGATCAAATACACCCCTCCAACAGGCCACCTATTAATGGTTTCACCACTAAATCTGGTTTCCAAAGGAATCATCCTGGGGCAGGAAGTAAACAAATGAAATAAGGAATAAAATGAAAAACAACTCTCTTTGGAAAGCTAAGATGTGAAAGAAACCCTGCTGGAATGGCACACAGTCCAAAAAATAACTCATTCAGGAGACATTCCTACCTACTTTGTAAGGAATCCGTGCATGAGGCCGGCATACAGGCCATTTAAACTCTCCCAGAGCTTCCAATGACTATGTGAACACTCAGTAAGGCCCCTTCTCTCCCAAGCATTGTGCTAGGCACTTCCACATGAGTGGCCTTAGTGGGAGACAGGCAACAGCCACTGAAGCAACACTCAAGCTAGAAGATACCCTTTTCCTGCTGAAAGACAGGAAAGACCCTACAACTTTCTCCCACAGCCCCAAGAGTTCCTTGTCTGCATCTAGCATTCTAACCTCACCCTGACCTAGCTCAGCAGGAAACTGAGGTTGGTGGGCCCTCACCAAGACCTCTGCCTCTCACCTATCTGGTCTCAGCCCCACTTCACTGCACTACCTGCCCTGCCAGCATGGGGGCCTCAGTTCACCAGCAACTCTAGTCCTGAGCCACACTTAGCTCGTTTCTCTGTTTTCCTTTTCCTTCCCAGATTGTACTCCCACTCATCTGACCTTAGCTTCTGTGTCCAGAAAAGGTCAACTGTCCCAGAAGAACCCTGTACCCTCTCCTTGTGGCTCTGACGGCTGGCGTGAGGCAGTGACCAGCTGAGGAAAGCCTGTAGCAGGTATGCTCACAAGCAGCAGCCTGCAGGGTTGTTTCTCCTACAGGAGTCTTACTGCCTGCATTTCACCAATTTCTAAAAGAGCAATTATAAACAGAAACAGGAGATGATTTAGTGGTGTCTGGGTAGCCGAGCCAAGATTGTCTACTTCAAAGAGTGAACTTTGAGCAACTGCAGATGCACAGATCCTCAATTAGTGTATTAGCTCCGATTCCAGGAAGTGACCGAGTTTGTCAAGGTCACAGAAGCAAGAATGGGGTGGGATCATGGATAATACAGTTCCAACCCCTGAGAGGAGAGGAGGATGGGATGAGAGTGTGAGGAGACAGGCTTCCTAGTCACTCTGATCACAGGGCTTCCCCCAGCAGCCTAATGTGGAAGGACTGCTGACCCACAGTGCAGTTTTAACTGTCCAACATTTATAGTGTGTCAAATATTGGTGTGTACATACATGTGTGTGGTAACATACACACATGTACGCAAGTAACAGGGTTACAAATTCACAATGAGCTGGCTTGCCAGAAAAAAAAAGTCCTTTTTGTAGCATTTGCTGATTCTATGGTGTAAATATCTTTTGCTTAGCTGATCTCAAGCCAGCAACATAGGTCCCTGAATGTGCAAATGCGGATCTAGTCATTCAGAAAGGGTCCATGAGTGACAAACTCGTGCAGTCCTTATTGATCCACAGATATCTAGCACTCACTTTTATTTGATAGTTTAGCAAGATATACAGTTTCGGTTGATAGACATTTTCCCTCAGACTTTGAAGTTGAATGAAAGGAGATAAAACTTCGGGGCATGAAGGTGGGAAAGTCAAGGAAGGCTTCATGAAGACAGGTCACAAAAAGCAGAAAGGTTAGGAGACTAGGCTGGGAGAGGAAATGGCAGGCACAGGGCCCACTGCGGGGAGAAGACAAGAGCCTAGAGGTGCTGCCTCACAGGGTGAACATGAAGACGGGAGGGTCGGGCAGGTCCCGAGAGAATGGAAAGGATCTCCCTCTTCGCTGTGTAGGCACCAATTACACTGCAGGTTTCTGAGCAGAGGATTAACAGGATCAGATTTATGACTTGGGAGATGAAAAAACTCAAACATTTGGTTCGCCTGTTTTCTGGATAGACAAGAACAGAGACTTAAACAAAACTAAGATACTCTATGAGTAGGAACTATAGCAGTGAAAGTAAGTGGGGAAAATTTATCACAATGAACAAGAAAAAAATTACCAAAACCCCACACACAGCTTGGCCTCAATTTAATGGAGAGGGAATTCCACAATGAAAACCAGCTGGGGCAGGGTAGGCTGATGAAAGAAGCAAAATGTTGAGAGAAACCAAGAGAGTGCAGGTCAGCTGGTGCACCTGGCACTGCTCCATGTTCTCTGGTGCTGCCAGTTCTTGGTAGTTCCAGCTTCAAGGATTTCGTTAAATAACCTGTACTTGAGTTGCAGAGCTTCCCTCAAAGAAGAAGGAAGTGAGAACTGAGGAAGAAAAGTGGTTGACCCAGAAAGTCCTCCCTACCGCATCTGTTCAGCACAGCTTGCTGCTCCTGAAGGGCTGCCTCCTGCGCCCCCACCCTGGGCAGCTGGGGCCCCGCCACGCCCCGCAGAGTTAACGCCTCTCTCTCCTCAGCACGCCTCCTGCACTTCACAGCATTTGCACTCATTTAGGCACTTTCCCCTTGGTCAGACTGAGTTTTGTGAGGACATAGACTCTATTTCACTATTTTATCTAGAAGGTGCTCAATCAATAAGCAGAACTGAATTAAACTGCCTAAGATCACACAGATTTTAAGTAACAGAGTCAGGACTGAGTCTTCATTCTCCCTGACTCCCACGGCAGTGCTCTTCCATCAATCTCCAAAATTTAGAGAGTTCTGACTGCGTCACCCACCTTTCTGTTATGGGTTGCTATACTGTGTTCTGATTTTGCAAAACAGATGGTCCAGGTGCCTGGCCATGTCCTGGGGGCCTGCACAAGACTAACAGGGCTGCCCACAGGACTAAGAGGAAAGGGGAAGGGGAGGTGCATCTTGGGCGGGCGTGGGCTTCCATAACTTCCAGCTCCAAAAACAAGCTCAGCTAAGAGTCTGAATCTTCCCCACTTGAGTGACTTCTCTGGAATCCCTTTCTCCCCACCCACTGCTGTATTGAATGTTCACACACAAGTGTAACACACACACACACAGGTCAGAGCAAACCCAGCTTGGCATCATGAGAGGGGGACCCGACGGTAAAGATCATTCACAAAGCAAACCAGTGGTGGGCTCAGAAACAGTATTTTTAAATGTTCCTAATTAACTCAGCCTGCTGCCCCGTTGGCTCTGATTTTAAAATAATATTTTATTCTCTTAAGGTGTCCCCTGTGGCCCTCCATTCCCAGGCCAAACTTCTTCATTCCTTG